ACCTATAAACTGGCCAAACTTTTACCCAATCATTTCACATCTTTTTGGGTTTATCATTTGAAAATTTCTTTAATTTACTAATTATTTTAGGGTTTGGTAATGTCAAGCTACGCGATTGCGCTTTGTCAGTATCTCATTTAAGGTGGCATCTCATTTAAGGAGGCATCCTTTACTGCCCATAATAATAATAATAATAATAATAATAATAATAATAATAATAAAAGAATAATTTAAAGAATAATTTAAAGAATATAAATTTCCGATGCTGTGTTAAAATTGTTTTATAGTGTTTTTCCTGGTTATACGGAATTCCTCGAATAAGCGCTGCATCGGGGCTGCGGCGCTTATTCGAGTAAATACGGTAATTCTTGTAAACAAAATGGCGACGCGTGATGAAATTGGTCCGTCTATGGCCCCAAAACGAGAAAAAACACGGGTCCGGACCCATCCCCCAAAACATGGTACGGATTGTTTACACGGGCAAAAATGTCAGGTCCGTACTCCTTTTTTGACAAGTCCGTACCAAACTTTTCTTCCGTGTAAACGGCCTTTTAGTCACGCGTATCATCGTCGTAGAGATGAAGGAGCCAAGCGCTTGAGCGACTTTGTACAAAATTCGTGCAACATGTCCTGACATCCTATACAATACAATACAATACAATACAATGTTCTTTATTTCAAGAGGGTAAATACAACATCCGTACCGTGTTTTAGAATTTGGGGTCATTTTCCGCCGTTCGGTTTTTTTTAGGATTTGGGTTCATTTCCCGCCATTCCGTCGTTACGTCATTCCATCGCTTCTACTGTCAGGGTCGCCCCTTGTAAACTGATCCTATTCAGTAGTTTCGGTTTACAGTCAATTGAGCAATCGACTGCTTTCTGCGAGATTGTGCATAACTTCTGCACAGAGTTAGATATTTCCACAGCTGAAATGCGCGTTTCTTTGTCGTGGGCCTGTATGTTTGGAGTTAGTATCATTTATCTTGGTTTGGTCAGCGTAACGGAAGGTTCTTTGGAAGAGCATGGCGTGAACGTTTGTTCAAGATCCCAGAGGTAAGCACATTTCATTTCGATACCTTCGCCTTGTGAGAGTACCTCGAGCGGAGGTTTGATACACCCCAGTCATAAAATGAGCTTTTGCTGGTTATGGCTCAGAAAAACTTCGCGGCCTTTACTCCTTCCGTGAAATGTAAATTATTTTTCCTTCAGGGCTCGACACTAGGGGTAGCCCACTAGCCTCAGACTAGTAGAAATTCAGTTTTGGCTAGTGGCTTTCGATTGCCACTAGCCAGTTTGGCTAGTAAATAAACTGAAACTGTCGTAAAATCTAAGACGTCACTAGCCACTTGGCTAGTAAGTTGAAAAGTTAGTGTCGAGCCCTGTTTCTTATGATCTCTATAGATCTCTACCGAGTTAGTCACTGAATGGTATTTCATAAACACAAATCGTAGTTTTTTCCCTCTCTACATACCATGTTTATATATGTTTTACACCACTGTACTTTAACATGGATTTGATTTTAACCCTTCCTACCTAACATTGGTATTCATGTTTCCTCACCGTCCTCTGTTCTAACCGGGAGAATTTCGCTTGACAATCAGGAGCTTTGATAGAAATTGGTGACCATTTCTTTTATTCTCGTGACCTTTACATTTGATTCAAGGATGATGATGTAATGAGAAATTATAAGCCAGTCGCTCCCAGGGGAGGGTAAAAGTTTGTTTATAGTGTTATCATATGGGCATGAGATCTTGTACCCCTGCACCCAGTTGTACAAAGGGCAGATAATGCTATAGCTATTCAACAGATAAATGGCTAACCAGCGGATCATTAAAGCCCAGTTCAGACGCTGTACTTCAGCCGTGCCGAATTGAATTCAATGAATTAAGTTCATGTGAATTAAGTATGGCATCTGAATTAATTTGGAATGGCTGATTTAATTTAGATTGGCTTGGTCAATTAATCCGCCTGACTCAGCCGGGAAGAACGTTAACAGTTGTGGACCGGCTTTGATTCAGACGCTGTAATTCACTTGAGTGGAGTGGAATCAAATGCACAAATTATTTTGGTGTATTTTTCTTGCTGTTTTTACATGTCAGCATGTGCAGAGGAGTGTTGCAGAAGAAAAATGTCGGCTTGAAGGGCCAAGCAGAACAATGCTGACAGATATTGAATGGGTGCCCTATTCTATGCCTTTTGAAATGACACTGGTTCTTTACTCTGTTGGCTCTTTGGGCATCATGTAGTTGTCCTCTGCGTCAGCAACATCCTTACCCACCTCTTTTGTGTATCGCTTGCAAAAAGTGATGCTTTTACCAGCATGGTAGTCTTTGTTTTCTTCAAAAATTGAATGTTTATTGCATTTTGGAATTTCATATATCAAGCATGTATATTTGGTCACACTGAAACACTTACAGATCTTTACAAACACTTTATTTAGGTACTAGAAGTGACCAAATAGAATACTTAAAACTTCCTTACAACGACCATGCCATAAAAATAACTTTAGTTCTGATCAAATTGTTTACTTTGAACTGCGCCAGCCTAAAGTTGAATTCGGTTTGGCTTGGCTGAAGTACGGCATCTGAACCGGGCCTAATAGCAAAATGTACCGCACTATCCAGTGGATAGCATTATACAACCTTCGAACAACTGGGGCCTGCAGGGGAACTGTTGTCAGTAGTATAGTGCCTGACCTTTTTTAACAATATGAGGGGAAAAGCTAAGGAGATTTATATAACAATGATCAGAGAACTTCTCTCATTCAATTAAAAGCAATGCAATCAACTGTTATTTCTAGGTTCAAACCTAGCTTTTACTTAAATATATTTTAATATAGATTGCTTGATTTTAAACATCAAGAATTCAAATTTTTATCAAGTGCAAATTGATTTATTTGCAGTTGAATTTATTCTATCAGTGGTGCGATTGTAATACAAAACTTATAACTGTAATTCTGTGTTACCACTCCCCCAGCCAGTCATCATAGTTATATTTGGCAGTTAGTTTGGAGTAAACATTTCTTTCACTTAAAACTTAAGCCATGAAACATAATGGTCACCAAGTGTTCATTTGTTTAGAATGCTGTAGTGTTTATCATGGACCAATTACCAAAAAGAAATTGACTATAAAACTTCATATTCTATCACTATCTGTCTATCTGTAAACTTCAAGAAAACCCTGATTGAAAGGAGCCATAATTCTTTCTCAGAACTGACTGGAAATAAACAAATTAACAGCTCAAAGAGTTTTTTTCCTGGTTCCTTTTGTGTTTAGTCGTATGATAAAAATTTAAGTGCAAACACATTATAAATTTTTTGCCTGATTACCAAGGTGTAGATTACTATCTAAACCAAGGTGTAGATTATTATCTTTCTGTTCACAGTTTCATACAGATGTACCAGCAATCTTTCCAAATGAGCTGGAAGAAAAAGTCAACCACCAAATGTGGTTGGCTGGGCTGGAAAAGATGCACAGTGTACAGGTGAATTAGTGCCATTTTACCCATAGAATTTTTCTGCTACCTAGATATTCAGTCGGAGCTGCTTGGGTAGCTATAGTTTATGTACATTGTTAATTTCTTACATTTTAGCTTTAACTTTAACTACTGTAAGTTACTCAATGACTGACACAGATTGGGAAATGGTGAAGAGAAAAAAATAGTTCTATAGGCTACAGAATTTTAATGTTATTGTGGAGAAGTCGGGGAATTTAATACCACAGACAACTGAAAGATACAGACATACCTGCAGTTTGTGTCCAGTGTAATTTTAAGAAAACAGTCTGTCTCCTCAGTTTGGAAAAGAAATTTAAATTTCATTTACATCGGGAGACATCACCTAATTTCTGAAGTTTTGTGGAGAGGAAGCTGAACATATATTATCCCTTTCTTCTGATGTCACCCATTATGTGATTAAGTGCCCCAACATGATTTTTGTAAATATATCATTCTTAAAAAAATGAGTGGAAATTAACCACAGTGACAAGAGGGGGCTGGGCATATCTGAGAATTTGTATTTTTTTGTTGGAGGAAATTTAATTTTGAATATTTTTCTCTATTCAGGACAGTATATGGGGTGTCTTATAGAACACTTACTCGGCACGCTTTTAAACCTGTTTACTCCTGTTGTCTTGGTTGGAGACAGAGTGGGAATGGCTGTCCATTTGGTAAGAGTCACATGTTAATGAGTAATCGGTGTATGGCAGTTTATGTTTTTAGAAAGTTAAATGATAATAATAATGATAATAAATGATAATAAATGATAATAAAATATAATTATAATGGTTATGATTGTAACTATGACAATTTCTTCAAATATGATTGGTGCAATAGCTGCTTTATATTTCATTAATTATTCAACAGAGTCGCACACCTGCAATCGGACAGTTAAAGCAGTCAATCATACTAAGTCCATTCAGCTAAATCCACCAATCACCAAATTGATCACAAAAACCATAGCAACAAACAGTTATTCTAAAAAAAGCAGGGAATTTCCAAAATGGAGGAGTTTTTGCTTTAGTATAGACAAAAATGTATCTACTGGGGACAATTTCCCTTAATGTCTTTTTTCATTAATTGTAATGGTTATAACTTATTGGTAAAAGGACGTCATATTGTGCAATTCAGTCTGTAATCATACTCACAATCATACTCACAACTGACAAATCTGACTCCCACTTCAAGGTCATCTGATTTTGTTTATCACTCATATACTCACAACTGACAAATCTGACTACCACTTCAAGGTCATCTGATTTTTTTTATCACTCATATACTCACAACTGACAAATCTGACTCCCACTTCAAGGTCATCTGATTTTGTTTATCACTCATGTACTCACAACTGACAAATCTGACTCCCACTTCAAGGTCATCCGATTTTGTTTATCACTCATATACTCACAACTGACAAATCTGACTCCCACTTCAAGGTCATCTGATTTTGTTTATCACTCATATATGATTCTAGACCAAATATTGGACTCCACTCAGTCCTATTGCCATTATTAATAATGAAAACATAAATAACAATGGGAGTTGAGAAGACTCATCAATAAATGTAGATTCCACGAAGTGGTTGCACTTGTCAAGTTGAAATGGAATTTGGGATGTTGGTTTTTGTGGGGGAATAAGTACAAGAACCAGTAGGAAACATAATTCACATGTTGTGCCAGAGGTGGTTTGAGGCCGAAGTACTCGTGCTGCTGCGTGTGCACTCATACTGAGTGAGTAGCATGCAATTTTTCAAGGACAATCCTATGCAATCAGTTGCTAATGATGATCTGAAGTTTAATGAAGTTAACATAATTGGGGTGTTATTAAACAGAGTAAGGCAGTATTATGAGTACTGGTAATGGCATTATTTGGAAACTTTTGGAGAAGTCTCACTAAGTGAGATGAAAATTGACCTGGGATTTACTTAGTTCTGACTTACAATTGATCTTTTCTTTTAACATGTACATTTTTATCTTTAAATTCCCCTTTAGAGTTATACTAAGCATTGTTGAACAAAAAAAGACTTAATAGACCATTTTACAGTTGTGTACTTAGTTGCCAAGCCTTTGATTCAGAGTGAGGCTGAAGGTGACCTTGTTCTGATAGAGACCTGTATCTACTTAGCATGATAGCAAAGTGATTTACATTTGAAAGGCAGCAAGGTTTGTATCATAACAAGGTCAACCCTAGCCTCACTCCCATTCAAAGGCTTGGCAACCAAGCACACAACTGTAAAATGGACTATACTATTTAGCAGAGGAGAATAAGAGGGTGATGTTATTCTATGCATTTCAGCCATCTGTAAGAATCCTTGTGTTAATGGAACTTGTACTCAGCCAGACAAATGTTCATGTAATGCAGGCTACTATGGACTGGTTTGTGATAGAGGTGAGTGTAGTATCCCGCGTGGATGGTTCGGATCTAACCAATAACACTCGGATTAAACCAACGCACATTAACTTAACAGTTTAATGGTGGACAACGTGTTCTAACAACAACTCTCGCACGCATGCGCCAATGGGTAATACACTACAGTGAGTTCATGTTGGACCTTTCAAAGTCCCACTTGGGTCTGCAATTATGGTTGATTCAATTCTTATGACATCATCTCCTCTTGGGAATCTTGGTCAACAATTGTTATTTTACAATATGTTACTCTTTCATTGTTTTGGTCATGGTCTCATTTATTCCTTGAAATCCAATTAAGTAGAACCCAGCCAACTATGACTAACTCCTAAGGGAAACAAAAGATGATCAGAGTTAGTAGGGGGTTAATGTTAGCTGTTAGTAAACAACTGAAAAAATAGAATCAAGAGAAAATTGGATGATCTTGTTTGAGTTACAGGGGGGTTGGAGTTAACTGAGTTTAAGAAAGCAGAGTTCTACTGTATTACTTGGTATTTTCATCTTTGATTGTTATCTGTCTCATAATGAGACTGGTTTAGTGACATTTATTAGTTAACTTAGTGTGAAGTAGATATATCTGTTAAACACTAAGTTAATTAACATAGAAGTCCCACTTGGTAAAGACCATTTGGTTATTTACTTAGTACCAGTTGTGATGATTGTGAAAAAATATATGATTAGTGGAGTAGAGAGGTTGGCAGCATATGTACCTATGCAAGATGTCACTTTTGTCAGAATCTCTGAAATTGGTGGTATAGCGTATCATTATTTTCATTCTTATGTATCCTCTCTCCTGATCTAAATTTCTCAGAGTGCCCCTCTCACAAATGGGGTCCTCACTGCCGACATGACTGCAAGTGCAAGAATGGAGCCCAGTGTGATTCACTCACAGGTCAGTGTGCCTGCACTCCTGGTTGGAAGGGTCAGCAATGTGAGCAGCCATGTGACCAAGGTTTCTATGGCATTAAATGTCAACAGAGATGTGATTGTTTGAATGGTGGAACTTGTGAACCTGCCACAGGAAATTGTACTTGTGCAGCGGGCTTCCAAGGTACAAGGTGCGTCAAATACAGTAGCCATCATTCTTAGCAGCATTGAGTTTCCAGTGTGTTGTTGGAAATGTCTATCTTTGGAATTTGATTCAAACAACTAAGTGTTCATTGACAAATTGTTTGTCTCAGTCTATTAAATATGCCCACCCAGCTTAGTTTTCTTAGGCTGGTCTGGTCTTTCTGCCTAGTTTTTCTTAGTTTTTGTTTTCCTTTAATGATTTCTTAAGTTAATTAGGGCAGAGGGGTTTCTTGAATTGATAGAACCTTTTTGATGATCAAGGACAGTATGAGACCACTGACTAATGATCTGCTTAAAAGTGGTATGAGATCCATGCACATTCTTCATATTTTGTAAATCTGGAAGAAAATTTAAAATTAGCAGTTTCAAAATAAAACAACTGTTAAAACTGTTAAATGAAAGATTTATAGCAGAATTTCAGAACTTGCAAGTTTAGGCATCTTAAGGAATACTTTTTGCAAAATCAAGAACAAATTATATTATAGGCTGAGACTATATTAAGAAAATATGACTTTTTCCTCCATAGATGTGAACTTCTATGTGATAAGGGATGGTATGGAAAAAATTGCGCGCAAAAGTGCACCTGTCTTAATGGTGGCAAATGTGATCATATTACTGGCAAGTGTAACTGTGCTGCAGGATGGCAGGTGACTAATAAGTCTGTAAGGTGCAATTAATAACTACAAGATTGCCAGGTTATGCTGAATAATTTACTGTTTAGATTGGAGGAGTAAGCATGGAATGCAAGCCATTTTCCCATGGCCTAATGAGGGAGCAATCACTTAACATGCATCATTTATGGCACACAAAGTTTGCAAGATTTTTCAAATGTTCTGTGCTTGTGTTTTTATTGAATTTAAGTCAGCACCCTAAATTGTGATTGCTTTGTCCTATTGGGGACTATAGAAGAGCATTCTGGCAACTAATCCGTAACAAAAGTTGCTTGCATGACTAGTGTTTAAACATCTTATTTAAACCTCTTTTAATTGAGTTTATTTTTGGTGTGTTACCATCTTATATCCAATGCATATACTCTCACAGTGATATGATATGGTGTAATCATTATTTTTCTTGAAATTTTTCACTCATAAATGCCTTTATTTGTTCATTTGTGGTTAAATTAATCAATTTTAGGTAAAATATCAATAACTTAAATTGAACCCCTAGGTTGTGTGACCTGGTCCTTAGACCTCACTTTTGCTTATAATATAACTCAACTCAGTGTCTACTTATTTGCCTATGGGTGTACACTGCTGACATGAGCAAATGTTTCCAAGTAAGCAAATGTTTTGCAAGAAATTGTTTTTTGTGTTCTAAAACAAATGTTAAACACCACAGCATAAACTATTAAGTTATGGATGCACTTGGGAGGTTTGCTAAGCACTCAAGAGGCTCAGTAGAGTTGCTCTGGGCTATCACCTTGCACCACTCTAATTCTTCTTTCATGCTTACTCTACCCACATGCATCCATAACTCGATAGTTTACACTGTGGTGTTTAGCATTTGTTAATTGAATGAGTGTCATGTAGCATGGAAAAATCCTAAGATTTTTTAATATGAATTTCCTTTAATTAGTGATACTAACTTCTCATTTAAGGGTGATTTGTGTAGTTCAAAATGCCCAGATGGTAAATATGGAGATAATTGCTCCCAAACATGCATAAACTGTTTGAATGGTGCAGTCTGTAATCATGTGAATGGAAGTTGTACCTGTGCTCCTGGATATCAAGGACATAGGCAAGTGCAGTAGCTAATTGAAATTAATTTTTATTTTTTTTATAATTTAAGTCATATCATTGTACGGAGATGTCATTTCCTGGAAATTTGAAGTTTGTATTTTTCACGGAGGGAAAATGAATTTGTTAATGGTGAAACTTTGAAATCAAAAGTTTTCTTGTTTTTCAGGTGTGGAGATATGTGTCCTTCAGGAAGCTATGGAAAATTCTGTGCCGAAGAGTGTCGCTGTAAGAATGGCACTTGCTCTCCTGTGGATGGTTCATGTAATTGCACAGTGGGATATACAGGGATGTACTGTGATCAGCCCTGCTCTGCCGGCTCAGCAGGCCAGGATTGTACCAAGCACTGTAATTGTACAATACATGGAACCTGTAATCCATTCACTGGCAAATGTCAGTGAGTATTTTACAAAATGTGAAAGTACCTGTCCTGTACTTACAATAAGTAATGGCAGTGGCTATAGAAATGGATTTCATTAGGCAGGGATCTTGTTGCATTATGTGGCAAATTAAATCATCAAATTGAACTGTCTCTCACTTTTGTTAACAAAAGAAGTGCCAGTCTTAAGATGACTTAGTAAATGTTCTCAAGAATGAGAAAGTTTCTCTTGTTTCTTAAGGGAATACCTATGTAAAAAGGCAGCCGGGATTTAGGTGGGACTCCGCCAATCCCACCTGGTATCTCAGGTGGGAATGGCAGGATCCCACCAATATAAGTGGGATCCCACCTTTCCCACCTGGGACTAACAGGTAATCCTGGCTGGGATCCTGCCTCCCACCTGGGATTGAGGGTGGGATAAGTGGAATCCCTCTGTCCTACCTGGGACTCATGGTTATCCCACCTGGGATCCTGCCTCCCACCCGGGATTGAAGGCAGGATGAGTGGGATCCCATCTTGTCCCACCTGGGACTCATGATTATCCCCCATGGGATCCCATCTCCCACCCAGGATTGAAGGCAGGATAGATGGGATCCCATCGCACCTGGGACTCATGGTCATCCCACCTGGGACCCTGCCCCCCACCTGGGATTGAAGGCGGGATGGATGGGATCCCATCTGTCCCACCTGGGACTCATGGTCATCCCACCTGGGATCCTGCTTCCCACCCAGGATTGAAGGTGGGATAAGTGGGATCCCATCTGTCCCACCTGTGACTCATGATCATCCCACCTGGGATCCCACCTTCCACCCAGGATTTCAGGAAGGACAAGAGGGATCCCATCTGGGACGTAAGGCCTTCCTTCCAGGCAGTATATATTAAGTGGGATCCCATCTTGACCCACATGTGAAACACATCTTAAAATTTAAGAAATGGGATTCAAGTAGTATGTAAAAATTTACTGAGTGGCAACTACATCACGCCTATAAAAACTGTGCAAGAGTTGGAAAATTTGGTAGCATGTTTATGGACCCTGTGTCATGTTAAATCCAAAGACAATGGAAGTAACCAAGTAAGCAACAGCATGTAAATTTTTGATGACTTAAGAATTTGAAAATTGTAAATTGCTCATTGTTGACATCCCAGGCTCATGAATTTGAAATCAAAAGTTGACTGTTTTAAGTGTAGTTAGCTCAGACTCGTACATTTAATGGAAACGTACATTTAATGGAAAACAACAGGTTTCTTTTCTGTGGAGATTCCACCTCAAAACTTTTGACATTATTATTTTCAAGAAACCTTTCCTGAGACAGAAAAAACACAATAATCTCATTTTGCTTTGTTGTATACTTCTTGAGGTGTCAACCTGGTTTTCAAGGGATGCACTGTGAAAAGGAATGTAGCACAGGATTCTTTGGACCTCTGTGTAAAGGAAAATGCCAATGTCTTAACAATGCAACTTGTGACAAAAAAGATGGCACCTGTGATTGTCTGCAAGGATGGATAGGTGTGCACTGTGACAACCCCTGCCCAGCTGGTTACTATGGCAAGAACTGTCAATCAAATTGTGGGTGTCAAAATGGAGGGTCATGTGACTTGGTGGATGGCAAATGTACTTGTGTGAATGAATGGCAAGGGGAAAGTTGCGATATCAGTAAGTGACAGACTCGTGACAGTTTAGCTGCTCTAACATACAGTGTACCAGGTTTATCAAAACTGAAAAATTGGACACCACTTTCAGGGTGGTGGACAAAAATTGGAATTTTTTTCTTTAATGATTGAGCTCTTTCTTGACTTCTTTTAATGTACAATAAAAGAATTTGTTGCCGTATTACTGCAATCTTTCCCGCTCGGGATTACCCGCATTGATGCCGCGCATGAAAAAAAATTGAATTAGAACTACATTTGTATTTCTTGGACAATGTTGGCGAGGGAAACGCAAAAAAGCGGTAGAAGATAGTCAAAACAAAGAAAACAGAAACAACTCTCGTTAGCTTGTTGTGCTACAAATACAGTTGGCTTCCTTTCCCGGCTCTCTAAGCAAACAAGTCATTCTTAATTCTTAATAAAGCGAAATCTTTTTGCAACATAATAAATCCTGTATTAACCAAGCTTGTTCGGTCAAGATGGCTGGATATTGGCCGAGCTCTTTTTTTCGCATTTGTATGGACCGAGATGAAAACTCTGCTAATATCCAGCCATCTTGAATTCAGGCTTGGTTAATAAGACATATTTATTCATGTGTTTTAGTGTGTGGAAACTGGACCTTTGGTGTCAATTGTAGAAATTCATGTCTTTGCAATCAAACACAAACTGAAAGGTAAGTGGAGTTTGATGATCACAGTTAATTTACATTATTTAGTTGGAAATAAATTGTAATCTTGCGTCAAATCTTTTTCTCCCGCTGTAAGTACATTGAAACCCCGCCTGAAGGCCACTCTTTTATGGCCAAGGAAACTGGGCATGCATTTTTATATTTAAAAAAAAACTTATCGATGCAGTCACCCATTGATACGGTCAATGGCCACCAGCATTTTAAAATCCCAAACAGTAGAATCCTATATCATTCCTCCCTGTTTACATGGCCATTAGCGCTAAATTTAGAAAACAAAATGCTGGTTACAGGTTGATTTCACTGATCCCTGTCATTTACTTAGTACAAAGGTTATTAATTTACAAGGAAGCAACTCGTCCCCTACCTGTTTTCATTCCAAAAATGATAAAAGGAAATAGATATTGACGCTTGGACAACTTGCGAAGCGATTAAGAAATTTGATCCTGCCCCGATAATAAGGCCAATCTGATTAGCGGGATTTCTCTGTATGCTCATTAGTGTACTTTCTTTTACAGATGTCACAGGATTAATGGCAAGTGTTTATGTAAGAATGGGTTCACTGGCCTCTATTGTAATGAGCAGAAAAGTAAGTTTGTTTTTGTGTAGCAGCCTCCAGCAAAAATTGGTGTATGAGTGCATAGTTTTAGATGGAAAACTGTTTTGCATTCACATTCTCACAAATCAGGATATTTTGTAATTACCTGATGTTTAACGTGGGTTGTTAAGAATTTATTTGAAATTGTTAAAGATAATGAAAGCATTTAGCAGGCACACTGAACCTTTCTTTGATAACTGCCGGTAGGCTCTAAAATGTCTATGTCCTGCCTCTAAAATGTGTATTCTTTGTTTCAAACAATACATGATGTTACCCTAAAATGAGGGTAAAAACATGTCTATCGAAATTTTGCATAACTGCACCACAGACCCACAGGTGAAATTGAGGTGTTTTTTTTTTTTCCCTGTGATTTCCAGTGTTTGGTTAGCTAGTGCAAAGGACTGCCAGTTGCTTGATCACATGACTGAAACTTCAATAAGCTTTAGTAACACAAGCATTCTTGCTCGTTGGCTGATTGATTATTAGTTATATTTATCAATGAACTTACTGATGTGGTTGTTTCGTCTTTTTAGGGTGTCTTGTTGGTTATTATGGTAACAATGAAGTTACTGATGTGGTTTTTTTGGTGTTTTTAGGGTGTCCTGTTGGTTATTATGGTAACAATGAAGTTACTGATGTGGTTTTTTGGTGTTTTTAGGGTGTCCTATTGGTTATTATGGTAACAATGAAGTTACTGATGTGGTTTTTTGGTGTTTTTAGAGTGTCCTATTGGTTATTATGGTAACAACGAAGTTACTGATGTGGTTTTTTGGTGTTTTTAGGGTGTCCTGTTGGTTATTATGGTAACAATGAAGTTACTGATGTGGTTTTTTTGGTGTTTTTAGGGTGTCCTATTGGTTATTATGGTAACGATGAAGTTACTGATGTGGTTTTTTGGTGTTTTTAGGGTGTCCTGTTGGTTATTATGATAACAATGAAGTTACTGATGTGGTTTTTTGGTGTTTTTAGGGTGTCCTGTTGGTTATTATGGTAACAATGAAGTTACTGATGTGGTTTTTTGGTGTTTTTAGGGTGCCCTATTGGTTATTATGGTAACAATGAAGTTACTGATGTGGTTTTTTGGTGTTTTTAGGGTGCCCTATTGGTTATTATGGTAACAATGAAGTTACTGATGTGGTTTTTTGGTGTTTTTAGGGTGCCCTATTGGTTATTATGGTAACAATGAAGTTACTGATGTGGTTTTTTGGTGTTTTTAGGGTGCCCTATTGGTTATTATGGTAACAATGAAGTTACTGATGTGGTTTTTTGGTGTTTTTAGGGTGCCCTATTGGTTATTATGGTAACAATGAAGTTACTGATGTGGTTTTTTGGTGTTTTTAGGGTGCCCTATTGGTTATTATGGTAACAATGAAGTTACTGATGTGGTTTTTTGGTGTTTTTAGGGTGCCCTATTGGTTATTATGGTAACAATGAAGTTACTGATGTGGTTTTTTGGTGTTTTTAGGGTGCCCTATTGGTTATTATGGTAACAATGAAGTTACTGATGTGGTTTTTTGGTGTTTTTAGGGTGCCCTATTGGTTATTATGGTAACAATGAAGTTACTGATGTGGTTTTTTGGTGTTTTTAGGGTGCCCTATTGGTTATTATGGTAACAATGAAGTTACTGATGTGGTTTTTTGGTGTTTTTAGAGTGTCCTATTGGTTATTATGGTAACAACGAAGTTACTGATGTGGTTTTTTGGTGTTTTTAGGGTGTCCT